TTCACCGGTCGGTTGGCTAATTGCTGAATGGCGACCCTTCCTGCCAGCACGCGACGTGACACTTTGGGTAGACCTGAGATGAAGCACTGGCAGAGCAGCTGTTTTACTACGTTATGGCATTTGGGAGACAAGGTTTCATATGTATATTATGCCTATTTACTGATCGATTCCCTGGGCGCAAAGCCTGTAGGCGGTAAATTCTTCTGCATGAATGTAGGCATCCTTAAAATGCTTCGCTCTCCAATTAATGCAAGACAATAGGCACTCAATGCTTTTAAACGACGCGCTACAACGCGAGGTTCATCTCCAACAGGACTGATGAGTTCTTCGAGCATCTGCCCATCCCTATTGCCGTCATACCTTTCTGGTCGGCTTAGCCTCATCGTTGCATCGATAAGCATTTCACCGGTAGAAAGATCATGCTTTATACCAGCTTTGAGGCTACTGCGTCCAGAGCAGCTTGCAGACCCCTACCTTTTCAGCAACTTTTGTGCCATTGCCAGCGTTCACCACGATACGGTTTTTGAAGCAAACGCAGGCTACTGCACAAACATCAAGTGATCAGAGAATCCTAATAACTTGATCGAAGGCAGATCACTGTTATTGGTAGCCGTGAATTCTTACACCATGCCCATCCAGTGGATGAACAGGGAACAGCTGCATCGAACCAGGTGGTGCTACCGGTTGCAATGCTCCCCGTAAGGTTTCCGTAAAAAGACAAATATCTTCCGACTCAGTGCACACTTGTTGAAAGTTATTAAATGTTGTCCGAAATACTTTCGCTTTCTTTCCTTTGCGCCCCTCAGAGGCACTGATAGGAGAGGAGCGGCACAGCTGGAGTGCGCATTACTGTACCCTCGAAGTACTCCGAGAAATCACAGCTGGTCGGACATTGCATCTAGAGTACACGACACAGTATTGTGTCTTGCTATATCGAGGCTACATAATTTTGCAATGATTAAGATATACAAACGAAAAACCAATTACTCGATTTGTTATTAGTTCGTAGTCGGATACAACAATTGTAGTTTAGAGTGCTTTAGTGTACCTCTGTTTACTAGAAGGTCCGGGTGTAATGCATGTCACACAGTGTGAAACTGCATTTATATTATAGTCTCACTTGCAAGAATTCAGGATTAAAGCCCTAGAGAGAGCCTTAGGCCTAGTAATACACACTTAATGTGAATTTCTGCGTTTGTTATGTTTGTAGTGTAAGGAGGGGAACACTGAGAGAAATGCAGGAAGGACAAGAGACACAAAGCAGTAGAATAGAGTAAGCATAGAAGCAGCCACATTGGCACAACTATTACTTGGGTCTCCACGGAATCATTGGCAAGCAAGAAAACAATCATATTGAAGAAAGTTCGACTCCCCTTAACGAATGAGCTGTCATTCAGCACCCCCTCGAAAGCTCCATGCTGCAGTTGTTCCATGGAGTCCTGCGCTTCAGGCAAAGGGAAACTGCCAGAATGCCGCTGGATTCATCATTAGACAAGTCTAGACTTTTCCACACGGTAACCCACATTTTCCCACAGCCCCTAACCGTTGATCCTGGTTGTGTATTGACTCCATTACAGGCCTACCTATCGACATCAATATCATCAAAGGGTTGTATTAAATTGTTTCCGCACAGCAATTAATCAAACTTGCTCTTAGAGCGATAGCTTAGAAGTATCTTGGCACGCGATCGCACAGGGAATGGTTCTGCTATGACGGTGAGGAGGGCTACGCCAATAGATCACCTTAAAGGAATAAGTTGTTGCCATCAACAATAATTTACCGGCATTGAAAAGTTGTATTCTGGTGAAAGCAAGCGTGTAAACACGCTTGCTTTCCGATGCCAGATCTACGCATAAGTCAGTGCACCAGTGGAGCCACAAACTTCCCGTGGAGTGTTCGAATGACACATAACTGAGCATTTCAAGTGGGGTGAGATATTTAAATACATCGTATCAAATAAACAGCAAAAGAGAGTGCTATTAGTGAATAGCTTGACGAATCCGGAACAATATCTTTTGAATGCATTGCAGTCAATGGTGTGACCCCACTGGTGGAACGCCTGCGCTGTCCGAGCGTCGGAAAAACGTCAGAACATCTTTATTAAATCTCATACTTTTCATGTGATAAATCTAGATACCTGCGGCGATCTTTTATCCCATTGAAATTCACTGTCGCTCATATCAGTTCTACATCAGTTTCCTTTTCCACCGTGCATTTTTACGAGCCATGGACCTCTCTGCCTGCACTGGCTTGGGCGATGTGAAGCTCGTTTTGACGGACTTCGACTACACATTCCTCAATTCGGGCCATGTTGCCTCAAAGGCCAACGCAAAGGCCTTTGGAGAGCTGACTGCCGCGGGGATTACCGCAGCGGTTGCCAGCGGCAGGTCCAGAATAGGGACATTATCGTGTCTTTCTTCCTCCTGTAAAGATTTGATGAGGTACAATGGCTATCCAGGCATCTTTCTCAACGGTGGAGTGGTGTACGGGGAGGACGGAACGCTGCTCTCGCGTACAGACATCACTGATTCTGCACAGGCGGTGCTGCTAGAGAAGATGAAGGAAATGGGCATATTGCACAATGTCTTGGGGTACACCCCAGATCGCGTGATATGCATTGAAAAGAATGCCTATACATGGAAAAGTTCCTTAGAGTACAAAGAACCACCACCAGAGGTGCTGTCATTTGACGAATTTGCAGAAACAAAATTTGTTAAACTTGTGGCTTGCAGTACAGTGGAATCGACGGATATCGCCCGTCCTATACTGGAAAAGGCAGTTAGAGGGCATCTCCGGTGTGTCCGACCTCTCGATTGGAACTTGGAGTTCATAAACCCCTCAGTGTCCAAAGCCGTGGGGGCCAAAGTACTACTTGGAAGCTTAGGCTTAAGTCCCCACCATCTATTAGCCATGGGCGACGGAGAAAATGACATCCAAATTCTCAAGCTAGCAGGGATCTCCGTGTCCGTTGCAAATGCATGTGATGCTGCAAAATACGCTGCACTCTATTCCACAGTTAGCTGCGATGACAGCGCTTTCCAGGTAGTTGCCGAATGCGTGTTGAAGCCACGAAGACGATGAACACGGTGGCATTAGCAGCAGCGAAAACAACAACGGCAGCACGAGGAGCATTGGCAGCATCAACAATACGTTTGCACCCAGATTCTGATCCCGCGGCCCGTCCATGGGAAATTATTTTTGGGGGGCTAGATGACCATATTCCACACCAACAAGCTTTTCTGTCTACACAAGGGATGTGCCTTTACCGGGCTATTCAGAGGACGGTTTTATTCAGAAGACAACTTGCCTATTATGGCCAGATAGCGTGGTTTATGTCTTTTTGCGCACTGGCACTTGAGCCTTTTTCTTAAATGAAGAGAAGGCCCCAAACAGGCAGTTCTCTGGCTACCTACAGCCGATGTATACAAACCGTATTACTTATGTACTTGTTCACATATATGTCATGCAAGCTTGATATGCAGCTGTCTGTATGATGTAGCTGTTCGTGTAAGCCAGCCGCATCCAGCCTACAAAAAGCCCCAACTGCTGACGACCCTGAAACAAGGATATCTAAAGCAAGCAAAAGAAAAAAGAGCAAATCTTAGTACAACTAATGTGTCGTAAGGTGCTTTCCATTGCACAACAGAGCTGTTGGGTCTTTGTGCAAAAAGCCTTTATTAAAGGGCGTGACTGTTGCCCTAACATCTCAATCCGTGACAACCCCTTTTACCCAACTACTTTCTGCCAAGTATGAATGTCAATAATTCTATGGGAATAGTTGCACTCGCGAGCAGAAATTGTGGCAGAAGTGCACTCACCCTCGTACATCGGGATAGTTGTGTCCTATTGTTGCGGTATAGATGTATTCAAATATGCTCCTTTACACACTCAAATACGTGTGCATACATGCGCAGCAGCGTGACAAGGTATCTGCCTTTAAGTAGTAACATTTGCACGATATTTCAAAACCCATTATTCTGATACTAGATATGTGGCACAAACGAAAAAAGCATACATGCAGAGTGCAACCTTGCCAAGTAGTTAGTGGAACTACTATAATTCTGCAGTGTAAACAAGCATCTGTGTAGGCGAACAATGTACCGCAAAAAGTGATAAGCGGAAATCTCTTTTAATCAAATGGTGACGTTTTATTGCACTGCTATATGTGCTAACTAAGCTACTGTCCGCTTAGCTGGCGGACGGCCTCTTCCCATCCCCAAGGTAAGGAACAGATCGGGGTGATGAGGAAGCGATGGCCTCGTGCTGTTGCTTCCACGTTGGTTTGCTGAATGCTGCGGGATCTACTTCGGTAAAGTCCTTTTCGTCACTTTGGCCAAGAGCCGGCATCCTCGTTGTAAGTTCATCCGAATGAAAGACCAGCATGAGTAGCCCCGTTAAGGACACAAATGCGTGCTTTAGAATGTGGTCAGACACCCCGAAGCTGCAGGTATTGCGCAGAATGTTGGTGTAGCATTCCACACGACGCACCATGTCAAAGTATTCTGCCTGTTCCTCATAAAGCACCCTGTTATAGAAAGTTGAGCCAACGCCTGTACCAAACACAGCAAAACACAATGTTAGAACAAATTTAAGACAAAGCTTCTTGCATCAACTGTATCAAGAGTCCGACATACACAGATGTCTCGTCATATTACCAATACTTGTGGCACTAGAATAGACAACGATAGAGAATAAAGAGCTCAGCAGTGCTAGGTAGGGATTTACAGTAAGCTTTCAGCGTATGCACTTAGACCAAAGACTATATGGGATGGGATCTGGGTTGGCTAAGACTTGCCATAGAATTGGATTGGCCCCGGGTTACAGAATCGGTCCTCCATCATCCATTGCTCCAAGGCAGTCTTCATCCACCTAAGAGAAAAACAAAACTGCAATTGGAACTTTTGGTTAGATGCAGACTCAGTGGCGCATATCAATAACCACCATCCGCAGATTACATATGATGTCCATTTGGGGCCTGATATGTAACATACAGATACATATTAGCACTATTTTGCTGCATGCAACGCGTTGCCTGTTAGTATCGCTCTGTTGGTCATTCGGTGTACGATTATTTAACTCCCACTTTCACTGGGTCTCCGGCTCGTATCAAAAATATTTTCGAACAGCATAATAACTGCATGGTATTGATACTACGCACGTCTACTTGATGTTTCTCAAAAGAACAAAAATTATGAGGACTGCATGTTATCACTACCAGCTCTGGAACCCCCTTCGCCCACAAAGAGACATTGTCATATCGCCCTTAAAAAGGCCCCATAGTTTCTGAGCCGCAGTAGATCCGGGGAAAATAGAGGCCGCCAAAGTGGTTATTCAGATACCAGACATGGGAAATGGGCAGAGTAATCTTTGGAAGCAAAGAACAAAGCATAAGAGAGATCACAGCAGCACGCTGACAAGACTGTTGTGGGACGAGATGCGACGGCCGACACTTACACGAAACGATGCATGTAATCATGGAGAAAACCACATGGCGAAAGGCAATGCTAGGTACAGGGCGAGCACCAAGCACTTGCATCTGAAAGTACCTGTAAGCCTTGCCCTCAAGGCTAACTTCCGAGCTGGGAATAACTGGTTGTTCGGTAACACTTGGGGTCCTGGAAGTTCTATCAACGATTCCCTCTGCTGCAGCACCTTTCTTTTGGATTGCAGCGGTAAGGGTCGGGTTGTCTTGTACGTTGGGCACGAGGCGCATGAGGGAGACAAAAGGGACAGATCCTAAGTGCCATTCTTTTGGGTTGCCACACAACCCACGAATGCTGCAGCAGTGCCCCGTCACGCCGGACTCCACCAAAATAGACGCAAGATTCCTGTTGGTACACATACGCGGAGCCCAACACAACAAGCGGTAGGTAATAATAAAGGCTTGGTGACTTCAGTCAAACTAAGCTTCTACGCATGTACAACCTCATGCACAGGCCTGATATGATACAATAGAACATTTTAATCATCCCATACATGCTCGTATACAAATAGTTGCCCCACTTGAGCACACAACCAACAAAACCTTATGGAAGGCTCACCCCCAAACTATGTGAACGCAATTTTGCACACACACTCCTTACCCATAGGCGAATGCTAGGTTGGCGTCGAATGTTGAAGGCATAGAAGAGCGACCCTGGTATCCAAAGAAGTGGGTGACAGCCTGAAATTTTCCAGAATAGCGGCCCACGGAGGCACGATACTCCAACTCCTCTTTCACCATCTGTGCCAGTAGTTCTTCTGTCTCTAACCGTTCGAAACGGATCTACAGGACATCACAAAAGGCGGTAAATGCAGGTTAGCGATGAGGAACGAAGAATGCTGCGAGCTATACGATGCACCCGAATAAAGCAGCCGGAGTAATAATATCTCGCTGTACTCCTGCAGTGGCATGTAAATGCAAGACCTGGACCATAGACTGTAACTCCTTAACGAACCTCGCCCATGTCCACTTGCACAAGTTCCCTGCGAATGAATTTAGGAAAGGTTTTGAAGAGGGCGGCACTCCAGGGCGTCAGCCTCCAGTTCCAACTCTCCGGGTCATTGTTCTCCCAGCTATCCACGTCCATGAGTTGTTGCTGCGTCGAGGGGGAGAACGTAAACGCAGTGTTGGAAAGTGATACGATTAGATAGAAGGCTCATTAGTAATAAGACATTCATACAGTACCGCAACAGTAAACTAAACCGGCACAACAGAATGGCACATGGAGAGAGATGACCTCGGCTGCTGGCATACACGACGATTTAACTGTATATATTCTACACAGCTCATATGTATGTAAAGTGCCATTACAAATGAACAGATTTATGATGCGTACGCACAGTGGATGAAGAGCGCCACATGCTGTATCGAGTCAATAAGGTGTATGTATGCACTCATTACCTGTGCCTTTCGCATTTCTCCCTTTGCCTGTGCCTCTCTGATAATTCGGCGAAGTTCTGCCAAGAGGATCTTCATGTTGGGCAAATGCATCAAAAGGGCATCCGGAATCAAAACGGTTCCAAAATTTCTGCCCAAATCAGCCCGTCGACAGACCACGTCCGCTATATCCTGAGCAGTTGCACGATGAATACGAAGTATACCCACTTACATTTCGCTTCACTGGAAGCAACGACAAAAACAAATCACTAGGAAAGAAACGTTATTCGTGATCACTACAGTGGCAGGATTGATGCTCCGTGTTTATGAAAAAAAGATAATGGCACTCAAGTTGTAAAAGGTATTAGCACACCTCAGTAGTCATATTGGGGAAAAGAAAAAGATGGGACAATAGTCCTAGCAATGATCTGACAATCATTATGGAAGGACACCAATAATCACTGACCGTTACAACAGGCCTTCTTACCCAAAAAATCAGAAATGTTTAGAAGACTATAAACTGACACCACTGGTTACCAGAATAAAGTGCATTAAGCAAAAGTAATTTTGAAAGTAGCTCTAGCATTTTCATAAAAGTAACTTCGTCATCAATACGTGCCGTATTACCAAGCATGACTGACCTGCACTACATGAAGAAGCGTCTTATCTGCTGCCCCGTACTCCTCCGCAATAATGACAACATTAGGATGCGTTTGTAGTGCACATTCCAAGACCTGCAAGGGTATAAAGAGTGCGCCGAAAACGCACAACGCTTATTTACCTCATTCATAAAGTCCAATCGCCCAATAACTCTGCAACTGGTGGGAAGTCTAGGACGAAGAGAGAAGGGCAGGGGAACAAGAAGGCGGGAGAAAGCATATCGAGAATGGAGTGCGGTTCAATTACAACGCACTCCGATTACGAATGGTTTCGTGTATCTCATCATAAACGACTACTTCCCCCATATTTTCCCACCCCAAAATAAAAAAATTCTTCCGAAACTCCGTCACCAAGTGCTGCCCAGCGACACTTAGCAAACACCAACCCTAACAGCAACCTCCTTGCTTCCAATCGGCTACCAACGCAGTGTGAAAATAGTATGAGCAGCACAAGAACTCGCCCATTGAACTAATCCCATCTATCCTAACAAAACAGCAATGGAAGAGCAGTAACCCTTTCCCAATCCCACCGTTGACTAACACCAGTATTTTGTCAAGCCTTCCAGCCATAGCCAGCAACATCTCCCCATCGAACACACGAGGAACAGACCCGAGGCACAAAAGCAGCTGTAACAGCATCAAAGCCTCCATCATCAACAATGGACTAGCACAGCTCGAATAAAAACATCATTACCAACAGCAATATGTATGTGGGAGTGTGCGTAGATGTGTGTTTGTCTGCAGTACCTCGAAGGAGGGCTGTCTGCCCATAAGCCGAATGAAGTGCCAGTACTTAGGCATCGAAGCGGCGTCCGTGAGAACGTTTCCAATAAGAGCCGCGTAGACCTTCGTACTGCTGTCGAAACCAACGCATGTCTCAATAAATTCGCCGGTGAGATTATTGCTGCCCGTTGCGGGTATCCCAATAATAGAAGTTCTGCACTGCCGAGCCAGGAAATATTCAGCCAGAAGTGCCGCCTCAGACATGGCGAAAGCAGAGCCTGGCATCACCAGGCCATCCAGCATCAGCTCTTCACAGCTCTGGCGCACAGATTCTTGGTTTTCGGTAGCTCCAAGAGAGTGAGAGGTGCTGCGGCCGGTCAACTCGCAGCCGCCTTGATTTAGAAAGAGCTCCAAATTTTCATCTGTTACTTCCATATATCGCCTTTCGATCAAGCCATTAAGACCGAAAAAAGCTAAACACTTGCCCTGCACCATCTTCAGCCGCTCATGAAGCCCCCACAAGACATTCATGACGCCAGGACTCTGTCGGGAGATTAGTACAAACCCAACCCTGAGACCGAAGCTGATAGGCGGAGTGTACTTGTCGTGCGCCACCTCGTGAAGATAAAACAAGGTGCTGTTTGCAAGGTAAGGATAATGCATCAACACCTGCCGCTGCGTATATGGATCTTTGCATAACACCTGCTTGGTTGGGCGCGCCTTGCACTTGGGGTCCAAACACAGAGGAGGCACAGGTGGCCGGTGCGTCAAACGCTCGCGTTGTAAAGCACTCAGGAATCCAAAACTCTTGACAACGCTGCCTCCAACCTACAGAAAAACGCATCCCGGCATCGACTTAGAAACCTCCTGGGTCAAAGCGCCCTAAACGTACTTCACAATTGTCGGACTGGAACAAACTCAGTGTGCATCAAGCAGCTAGCTCCGGTAAACCAGCTGGCGAGTATCCGTGCAGAGAGGCATGCCTGCCTTTGAAAAGGACAAGGGAAAACGTACACCGCTTGCAAAAGAAAGATGACAGAATACAATAAAAAAGATAAACCCCACTTAAAGAGTAAGCGCTTTGAGAGAAAGAGGAAAAGCACAAATAACAGTGTTATGGAAGGCTCACTCCGATATGACAGATAGACTCTGTCTGATGCAAAAGCTCATCTTTAGTGGGGATCGAGACAGCGTATGCTGGCTCATCTGCTGTGGGGCCCTCGAACTGGATCGGCCCTGGCACTCTGTAGTAATCTCCGAACTTCCAGTGCTCTCTCGCCTAGAGACGCAAATAGATTCTCGCAGTTCTGTTGTCCAAAAGAAGGCAAAAATCGCCAACTCTACCATTGGAACCGCAGACGCTAACTCCTGTGCCAAAATCACCTCTGTCAGCGTCAATTCACTGCCTTGTAAGACAGCAAAGGTAGCACTAAAGATTAGCTGCTTACCTCGCAGAAGACTTTAAAGAGAGGGCCATCCAAATCAACAAGAGATCGCGTGATTGCCGGGAAAGCAACACCCTTGGCGTCCTGTTTGACGCACATCATGGACGTAAAGGGAACTCCTGCATAGCATACATTCAAAAAAGCACTCATATACGATGTAGGGCAAGGAAACAGATATTACAAATAAAAGGGCAGAGTCAGCGACTACAGTCACCAATGCAGCGCAGGCAGTAACTCTCCAGACAAACGATATCAACAGCCTTTAACAGACCCCCTTAAAGAAGACCTAAGGAAGAGCATATACAGATTCATGAAACTACGGTATAGGCAGAGGCGTGACATAACAGGGATAAAGGTGGTAGGAGTGGCAGATATCAAACAAACTCTGCTCTATTATCCGTTGTACTTCTATTCTGAGCCACACGCATTTGTCTATGCAATCAAAAACCGTAAAGGAGGAAAGGAGCACAACAGAGCGACGGACCTGCTGGCGTCCAGAGAGTAGGGTGCTGGTCCAAATTCCGCACGACGGACATATACCCGTTCCGCCTGTTATCGACAAGCGCGCCTGAGGGAGCAACGGCAGTAGTAGAGAGAAAAAGGGATGAAGAGCATCGGACACGAATACATCTGCGCTGGGCCACAATGCAGTACAGCCTGTATCCTCCATCCAACTGTGGCTAAACGTAGCACACACCACCCTGCGGGAAGCCTGGGTGTCCAGGCTTAGCATTTGTGATGTCATTGACGCGCGTGAACTATCGCACCCGCAACGAAACCCAAGGAGTAGCAGTAATTGGCGTCGAAGTTGGAAGGCATAGCGCAGCGACCTTCGTAACCAAAATAGTGCGGCATGAAGCTCCACAGTTCGGGGTCTCTCCCCTGCTTGCTGAGCTCGTTTTCCAGCAACAAAATGAGCAAACGCTCAGTCGCAATCTTCGCAACCTGTCAAGACACGATAGACAGCACACCACAACGCCACATTCTGCTTACTAGCTCTCTCAACTTTGTAAGAAATTTCTTGAAACAGGCGCTTAGAAGCAACGCAAATGATGGCTCTCTCTAACGCCTTGTTGATTAGAAAGTTGTATAACCAACAAAATAGCCGCCAGTCTATGTAGTGAGGAAAGCAAGTCCACACGCATGCCCACTTGGATATATCCGGTGCTCTCCCTGTCCATTAACAGCTGTTCTTGAATCACATCTGGCAGAAAGTCCCAAACAGCGCGGGTCGTCTTAAGCAACTCTGGCTTGAAGACCTGCATTGTGTGCGTACATCGCAACTCAAAAAGTTCTCAATACCTATTGACTTCTCTTATGTTGCAAACCCAGAAACTCCCTGTGTTTTAGGAGTATGTCAGGCCACATGAACTTATGGTCATAAGAAAGAATCCAAAGTCATATCTTCACAAGGGAATGCAAAGGCCGCAGGAAGATCTGAAGCTTCAGTCCATGTTACGATCTCCTTATTTGCCTGCCTCTGCTTTTATCTGCCTCCCTGCCTCTCGGCACCCACAAACACTTACGCTTTCCGTCCTGAGGACAGCATTGAGTTCGCTGATTAGTTGTTTCATCTCAGGTATAAATTCAATGAGACCCTCAGGCACCAAAATAACACCGTACATCTTCCCCTGATCCGCTCTCTTGACAACGAGATCTACAAGCTCCTGGACGATGCGCTCCAGTGACATATTCTCCCTCTCCACCTCCTCCCCAATAAAGACAAGATTGGGTCTGGCTTGCATGGCGCACTCCAGAACAAGATGTGAAGCGCTGCGGCCCATAACGCGGACGAAATGATAAACCTTTTGAGAGCTGTTCACGTCGATACACAAGTTCCCAATGAGCTCGGAGTACGTTTTAGCTGCAGTATCAAAGCCAAAAGATGCTTCGATCATGGCGTTCTTGAGGTCTCCATCAATGGTCTTTGGAACACCGATGACGCAACAGCTCGGCAAGTGCGTCTCAAACGACTCGGCCAGCAACGCTGCATTACTATTCGATCCGTCACCTCCTACCAACACAAAACCGTGGAGCTCCAAGGATTCGCAGACCTACACGCATACACAATACTCGAACATGCTGCCATACGTCGAAGCCCCTAAACACCCAGCTCCTCAAACAGCCTGAAGAATCGGGAAGGTAACAATAAGAAAAATTAAAATATGCAAGAAAAGCATCGTTCCTAGAGCCTTCTCCAGGAAAATCACGCCGCTAAGATGGCTAAACAGAAATCAGGACCCCAAAATATCCGCTGGCCTGACTGCTCCCCAGGCTTTCTAAATTTCTGAGCTAAGTGTCCTCCGATATATCATGCAGTCTGAACTCCACATCATCACATGTGAAGGCGCGCACCTCCCTAGCTCTCCGGATGTCCTCCTCTCCCCCAACTCTGCCGCGGCCAGACCAAAGCATATCAAAGCCTCCTTGATTCCTAAAGTCCTCCATCAGCTCCTCCGTGACGACCTGTAGCAACAACCGTCAGCGACGAGCCAAAATTAGACTTATTGACCAACCATGCACTGACAATATAAATCGCCTCCTCCCTGTGCGCTAAACCATGTGTCTCTCCTCGCTTTCAGGTGAGTTCTCCACCAAGAGACTTTCAATTTATGGAATGCGCAAGGCTGTGCTGTAAACATAGGGTGCCTCTTGCCGTGTAGTTTTGATTCATAACACCGTCTAGGCCTCCCATGAATCCAACAAGCATCGACTCTGGGTGCCTTTGCTTAACGAAATCATAGAGGCCGGAGATGACGTTGTGGCCCCCAGGTGCGGGGCCCCCACTTAGGACAATGCCGATCCTTAGAGCCTTGGATAGGGTATGTTCCTGGGGTTCTCTGGGGGAAGGCGCGCCACTGTAAAGACTGGGAACAAGCTCGACGTACTTCTTTCCAAACGTAGCTGGAAAGAAGGTCTTCAATTGTTTCTGTAGTTCGGGGGACTGGCATAGTGAGGGATGATCCACCGGACACTCCGATTCCACCAAACTAAACTGCTGAGTATCAAGGGCAGAGGGGAGCGTGCAGCGCCACGCACGGCGGAGACGCTGCAAGGGGGAAGACTGTGGAGCCACCAAAGATACCAAAGACACACGGAATATGCTTGTAGAGGGGCTAACACCAGAGAGGGATGAACGTGGAGCAAGTGAACTGATGCAAAGATACAGTGCATGAATGATGGAAGGGAAAACATCAGCACGGGAGGGTCAATGAAGCAACAAAGAAAGGGATGACGCAATATATTGAGAAAACATATCGACAAGTGTGGAGACATGCCAGAGCTCTACGATTGAAACATAGGAATACGGGAATATACGGTAGGTGTAAGCCCCAGAACAAGGTCATTCACTAGAACAGGGGGAGGAGGAAAGCAACGCTCAAAGGGCGTGAGCGAGAGCCCTAAGAAATACGAGTGCAGTAGCCGACATGCGGGACAACTCAAGTGAATCTAGCAATCTTGTTCTATAGTCTATCAACATGCACGATGAACTGCGCTTCACAGGAGCGGTGAGAAGCGAAGAAGGCGTACTAACCCGTTCAAAGAGGTCCGCCGAGTGGAGATGCAACTTTGCATCTGCCTCTTGTTCCTTGAGAACGACATCTGTAGAGGTTCCTGCCTCTGTGTGGACTCCGGGAGCCAAACTCCCAAAGATATTTCCTTCTGTCATTCCGAAGGAGGAGAGACGTCGAGAGAGTTGCCTGCTACGCGCGTCGATGGTGAGGCCTGCCCCTACACGGAAGCTAAAGCGCTTGACTGGGCGGGATCCCATTGGCATACGACCCTGGCCAGAGAAAAAAGAGGGTGTTTGGTCCTGTGAGGTCTCCATGTCGGGCATCACTCTCTTTGAAGCTTGCGATCCGGGAGAGTGCGGCGAAACTGCAGCAGATGTCCATGGGTCCCTGGAGGGTGAGCGAGCTCCATGAGGATCAGCTGGTGGGGCAGATAGTTTATACTGATTGTCCTGGGTTAACACCAGCAAAGATCGGCCTCTGCGGAGGTGTGCGGGCACTGCGTTGGGGCCGTCATGAGACTGCAGAAAAGCCGACATTGAGTGCATTGGGAACCCTGCAGAGAAAAAGAAACAGCAAAAAGCGGTTCACACACGCTCAGATAACCAAGACAATGGAAAAATGCACATGAAAATGGAAAAACGCTGGCACAAAGACGAACGCGAATATCCAGCACCACTGTACAAGGGGCAGCGGCGAAGACAAACAGTATATTAACGCCGCTTCTGTCACGTATGGGCACGCGCAGAAAGCCTAGCATTTGAATACAGAGGATGTGCGGCGTCAGCTCTAGTGAGCAGCAGCAACCCTGACTGCTGGGGAACCTGTTGTGCTACTAGACTCATAACAGCCCAGGAGGCCCGCGGAAGAAGACCCCTTCTCGAGGTGCCTAACAATCAGGCTTTAGGTTTAACAGAGAAAAAATACATTCATGATGAGAACAGTTATGGATTGAGACGAGGGTGCTTGCATACGTTGGGAGGAAGCCGAGGAAGGCTTGGCCCCCCTGGAACCCGGTGCTTCCAGGGCTTTCCTTTCTTCTGGCATTCTGTTGAAAGCAGTTCTGAGATGGGTTACGCTGTTAGAAAAAGTGGAATCAAGGAACTAAGGAAGAGCCCCAGCAGTATTTACCGCCCCCCAGCGGGTCTCACGAAGCCCCAGAGCCAGGCGCGGCACGCGCACACACACACAGGACAAATGAGGCAAAGAAAGAGATAAACGAATGTTCAGACACGCTAGTTTACCATATTTCACCCCAAGATGATAGCTACTAATTCAATGAGCCAACAAAGCACATACGGAAAAGCAGCAGCACTAGGAAGAACCACTCGAGCTTAGAGCCTTTCACCGCATGAGGTCCCGGCGCGTCTTTCTCCACCTCCACCTCTCTGTTTACTGTGTACCAATTACTTCTTTGCACTGCTTCTCATAAATGTCTGTTCTGCCAGCTCAATTTTTCATAAGTCCTCTAATAGATAGCAGAACTCCGATTTCTGATATATCCGGCTGGCAGTTCAGGGCAGAGGTGCAACGGGCTTTGGCTGAAAGCTAATGCAGAGAGGACCCTTAACCATAACTGCTCTCACGCTAAGGTGGAGCCTTTGGCCCATTACTTTCTTGTTGTTCAGCGTAATAATGGAATTTTCGATATTTCGAAGACAGCCTATGGCAGCACAAAAGTCCCTATGCACCTCCTACGGCAGGCCAAGGCATACCTCAGCGACTACTAATAAGGCGGTTACAATCATTAGAACACATTTCATTAATGACTGTACGCTTTTGATTATCACACCAATATATGAGCTGTGCCTGTGCGCTGAATGCAACCGCATAGGTACTAGGAGGGTGCAGCAACTTGGTCTCCGGCTGTTCTAAGTCCCCTTAATCAGGAAAGCCTGTGGAATGAGCTCAAACAAATTAAACACCAGATGCCTTTTCAGCGATGGTAGGGTGTGGGAGCTGATGTGAGGCTCGATCTAAGATATTTGTAAGCAGAGAGCACGGTTCTCAAAAAAAACTCCTCCCTTGCCCTATTAGCGCCCATCAGAGTGCCCTCCGATGGGACAGGGGCAGCTAGGGTGAGCATTGCTGCGCCCTTAAAGCACTCCAAGCATACACAGCTACTTTCACATCGTGTCCAACGAACACGCACGAAGCCGTGCGTCTAGATATATCGAGCTATCAGTACTCTGCAATTTATAATATACGAACACCCAAACTAATCTTTTACATATTTTTCGTCTTATACGGTAAGTTTATTAAGGTGTGTGTAACTGTAGCTTGGCCCGCTACACCTTAGTCGCCGCTGTCCAATCACACGCCCCCGTGTTTTGTGTACCCGCTTACCAAAACAGTTCCCACCCTATTGCCATTCCTCAGGCGTCCAAACATGCCTCAAAGTAGCCCAAAGCAGAGCATCAAACCATTCTTTCAGCCATATCGAAAATAGACGCGAAAAAGCACATATCAGCCAGCAGCGAACACGGGACCACATCAACACGACCAGGCCCCGCAATAGCTGCCTATTATCGGAGCGCTGTAAGGTGTGAGCCTCCTGTTAGGAGAAAAGAGACGACAAGTTAAGGGTGTACAGGGAATCAATTTACACAATAGTTCAGCAGTGCATCCGTGTCTGAAAGAGCATCTCTGCACGTAAGTCCAGCCTGTTCAGTAGCCTTGTCGATCGTCAAAGCAAAGAAAAGGCATAAGGAAGAATGTAAAGACCCACGACTGAGAGTGCCCTCGCGTACATTTGAGTTTACAGTACACCTCAACAATAATACACGGCAATTTTGCAAACAGAACCTATAAGCAAAGGCAGTATGTCGTAACAGAGCATAAGCATGCACTCCTGAAGGAAAACCGCAATGGAATGCGAGGAATGAAGTCTATGGCGATAGGCATTACAGACAAACGCAAGCAAATTCCCGTAGGATAGAACGCCCTCAATTGCTCCGCCGTTAAAGTTTGGCTTTCCATTCCACATTTTACTAAAGGTCTCCTGTGCCGTGTTCTAAGCGCTTAACAGCCTTATAGTCCACCACCCTAACGGCTTCTTGTGGATTCGCCTCCACATGGGTCACTAGCCTTCGCGGCAAAGTCCGCGAATAATTCGAGGCTTTGGAAATTCCATGAGGAAGCCATATTGACAGCTTTGTAGGACCTCCAGCTTTTAGGAAGTTTGATGGAGTAAGAAAGAGCATTGATTTGTCAGCTAGTAAAATATGGTCGGCTGCCGTGCAACAGACATTTTCGCTTGATCACTTTTTGATCCACCTCATAATGCCTGCTGATCCAGCACGACCATCTCTCCAGGCTCAAACCACATATCCGACGGCCACTCATCACGAATCCATTCTCGCCTCCCTTGAGCTTAGCACGTATCCGCATGCAGTGGCCAGCTGTTCCCTGAGTTCCTATCCCGCAAAAGGTGGCGGCCGGCCCCGGTCCACCAGGTCCAATACCGGATCGGCGAAAGGTTTCTCAGTGTGGACCAAGGATGCGGAATCACAACGGGTGTGCGATTGTAGTATATAAATATAAGCCTTTTCAATTGAGAGAAGTAACTCTATTCAAAAACTTTCGAGAGCGCAGTGACGCAAATATTGCGGAAGAGTGTGGTTTGCGTGTTTGGTCTCTCTCTCTGCTCCAGGGTGATTCGCAGTGGTCACATTATGCTCAATGTGTGGGCGAGAGATATTGGGGCCAGAACGATTTAACAAGTTTCGAAAGCCTATTTATGACTTGACTTCTGCAGAAGCTGGGAATTGCCAGACATAAGTTCAGAATAGTTAAAGTAACATTCTAAGCCGCAACAGAGCTAGAGCAAGATAGGATATGTTTGCTGTGTCTGCAGTTCAACAATAAAGTCCATAGTAAGATAAGTCTGAATTCTCTGAGTAACTGTGGTGTTTTGCACAAGACCGGATTTGGTATATTGTGCCATTTTAGCTGCAGTCGATCTAAACATGATCGTGCAGCGGCTCTGCTACAGAACACATCCGATGCCACCAGTAAGACCGTGAGAGATTTTCGACTAGAGTGTGAATCCACCAATGCCCGAAGAGGCACGATCATGCGTCTCGCGGAAAACTGCAGTACGGAGATATGCTCAAGTGTACAAGCGACGGAGCCCCGCTTTGCGTTGAAGCATATAAGCCATACTCAATGTGGATTTGCTTCATACTTTTGCCATTATGGAAACTGGCAATACCAGCAGAAGCAAGCATGTCAAAATTACTAAAGTCACGCAGCATCGATAGAAAAGTGTAAATTAGCATAGCCAAAAGCGGTTGTGATACACACTTGTGAAAGCTGGGGCGTCACGACAGCGCATTGGCGGCCACGTTGGAGATGCCTTTTATATACATCATTAGAAAGAACTTGATCTTTTCAAGCCACCGAACAACACGTCTACCCAAGTCCCGACAGCTCTTTTTAAGAGATATTAATGACTGAGAGTGGGTCTGGACAGCAAAATAACACCCGTAAAAGTGGTGCCAAGATTTTTTCACGCCCTTACACACAGCATAGAATTGGTTGTCCCTCATTAGATACCGCTGTTCGGCTTCAATGAAAACGATGAGACTAGCAAGCAAATATTTGAAGGTTCATAGGACCGGTAGCATGGTTGAAGAGAATTGTACCTACCGCTATGTGGTTACCATCGGTTTTGAAGAAACAGCAACGTTCATAAACTGGCAGTGCTAATACCGGAGGAGCTGGAAGATAGCAGGGAAGCATCTTTGCACTGGAATCCTCCATCTCTATTTACGTTCAGAGTGCAGGTTATTAACTCCGTTAGTCAAAGCAAGTGAGATCCGCGTAAATTCAAATGACAATTCGACTGTAAGATTCAAGCCCATTGAATTGTGCAGGGTCCTCCATGGTGCAATAAAGATACAACCATGCCTTGAATGCTTCCAGTTTTGCAGGCTATAGCTTTTTCTTGCAGCTTAGACCAGTACTTCCAGAAATATAGCAAGTCTCATGAAAAACGAAGACTTCGGTGTCTTCATATACAACTGAGTTCCCTGCAGTAGCTGATTCACATGCCGTAGGTGCTATTGATGCTTCGAACGTTTCAGCAGAATATTAGCATGTCACTCATAAAGAGAGACATCCAGTCCTCCTTGATGGGCTTCTCAATTTTTCAACTTGCCAGCCGTTGTTGTTCCATAAGGGTACTGACATGTCCAAACAGTATGAGGACAGACTCGGGTTTGGAATTGCAAGTGTTGGACGCCGCCTTCTTATTGCCATCTGAGAAGACGGTGGTTATTAAGAAGGCATATGTTAAATTAAAAGCGAGTTAACTGGTGAACTGCGCAATTTGTCACACAATTCGCCGACGAGGAAGCAGAGGCTTGTGCTCTAAAGTGAGCCTTTTCTGGAGCTCGAAGCAAACGCACATGGGCCACTGTCCGTTTTCTGGTGGCATGAACATTCGCTTATGCCCAGATGCGCCTGCCCATTCTTGCACTTGCACAAATTCAGCAAATCATCAGGCATCTGCCGCTCAATATCGTTTTTTGCAGGAGCTTCTAATGCTACAAAATATTGCTTAGGATTGACCTAGAGCCTAGTTAAATACGGTTCGCTGGACGAACCGCAGGTGGCCAGCCTTCTGGCAGCTTGTCGATCCGCATCCCCCACCTTGACAGTTGCCTCTTCCTTCTGCTTCTATAGCTAAATGTTCAATCTGCTTCACTGACGTTGAGCCAGTCTCAAAGCCTACTTCGACACAGTGCAAGCTCAGGTTGGCTTTCCCTTATTGCGTTTTTTAAGGGCCTGCATAAAGACGTTGCTTCGCCGTGCCGAGATACTCCGTGTACCACACCCAACCTAGCTCAAGTGGGCGTTGCTGAGGAGACCAAACGTTGCTTTCTGCTAGTGCTCCCAGACTCGCTGTGCTTCTCAGCGCGCAGCTGTGGCCGCATGGGCACCCTCCATGGGCCTTATCCATGGCATACCTAGGATCACGCCATGGTGCATCGGTCCAATATAGAATCCACGGACCATACTGAGAAAACCTTTAACCCAATTTGAAGTGCTGTACCTTGCCTTATTCTTTTGAATAAGTGCAAGTCTTTGGGCCTATGAGTGAACGTGCAAATTGTACTTTACGCCTTGTCGTCGATTAAAGAGATGTAACTTCACATCCGATGCCAAGCAACACCAAGAGCTCTTGTTTATTAATGTGATCTTGCATCAGCGCAAAACTGACCTGTGATAAGCCCCAAGCTGTGACTACCATCTGTAGAACCCCTCAGTACGCCATGGCTTGCGCTGGAGACTTCATGTTTCTTTAATGCGGCTATTTGCTCGCCAACCAGCCTGCAGCCGCAAGGCCCAGTCAAGTGCCTTAACTAATCCAGAAGAAACGTGCACGCCGCAGCGCTAATGCTACAAGGGAGGCCGGACTTTGGAAAGGCGATCTACGGTTTAAGCTGCACATTTGCTTTGCCTCTCTACGGGGATTCTTGGATGAATTGATAATTGTTGAAGCAACCCTGCAAGCAACGATCCACGGCATGGCGTGCATTCGACCTGGCAGGTGGCCTTGGTCACACCCTCAGTTTCAAATCCGGCTTTATGCGCGCGGTTGCAGTTCACCATTATATGACTAAATCTCTTACAAGAGAAGCATGTGTATTGTTGATGGGCTATCGGGGTGATTAAAGGGCGGCTTACCTTTGGAATCCTTTTCTCGCTCGCCTTACACTGTAGGCTAGAGTTGTTTGACACAGCACCAATATCCACGTGCTTTGAATCGCGCGTTGGCTCTTCATTTACAGCCAAAGATGCAGATGTTGCTTTGATTTGATCCTGAAATATTGATAGGCTTATTGTTTATAGATTCTTCACTGCCCAGTCAGCTAATTTCAGAGTCGTGGATCATCATGCAAGCACCTGAGGTTACTCTCTGGGGGCACCTGCGATACACCGTTGACAAGTCAGCTGTTCATCTACGTGTTGGTTTGTGCAAATCAAAGCTTCGCATTTAGCAGTACATAGATATGTTGATGGTCCCGTGCTTCAGCGATCTCAAATTTTTCTAGAACGTGCTATTTAAGAGATTGTTCTACACCAATGAGTCAAGGCTTGGTTGGTGGCTTTAACCGTAGTAATCCCTGGGAGCAAACATTCTCTATGTGGATAAAGTTACTGCAGAGGTACCTCATTAACCCATACAGATGAGGCAAGGAACACTTGCTTCTCTATATCTGAAGGTTTTGAAACGGGGTACATCTCCAATCGGCTTATGAAACTTCAGATACTTGCCATCTTTGCACCCATCATACTTTTCTCGTCGGCACAGCCCCACTACCGCATCCATACACATTTCGACAGCTGACAAATCATGCTTTTTACCAGCTCTAGAGCCACTGAGTGCGATTCAACTTGCAGGTCGTCCTCTGCTAACCCAACACACCCGTTGGTATAGTTGTCTGATTTCGTTTGCCAACAATCTGGAAAGTACACCCTTTGACGATGGTTATTGACAAAGCTCTTGTTAAAATTCAGTGTTTCAACACATCCGCACTCAGTAGATGAGCGGGAAGCAGCTGCACCCAGCCATGTGGCTCTACCAACTGCGATGCTCCATCTAAGGTCTTCAGTGTGGGCATACTTCCCCACACAGGCAATACAGTACTGTCAGGAAACCATCAGTGTTTTCCCGGAAAATTATCCGCCTTGCCTGACTACGCCAATCAGAGCTCTCGGGGTAAGGGGCAAGCTAAGGCTTGCATTGCTATACCGTCTACGCACTCCGAGCTCTCGCAGTTACTTGCACATCGCATCTAACGAACACGCACACAGTCTTGCGTCGTGATGCATCGAGCTAACAAGCCCACAACAAGTAAGATATACGACAACCAAGTCAACAAGTCAGTCTTCAACAGTTCTTTGTTGAATTTAATTAGTGTGAAGGGAAGTGTTGAAGGATAGCTTTACCCGCTACAACCGAGGCTCTCAGTACGAGGACTAATGGAAGTGGGTTAAGACTAGTGGCGAGCTACAGTACATTGGGACAAATTGCAGGCTCAATAAGTAATACGTAGAGTACCTCATGAAAAGAGCTCTATTTCAAGTCTTCCACGCCTGTAACTTCTTGTTTCTAGCACCAATGCAATCAATGGGCGCAGAAGCGATCTTCGGTCTGCTTAGAACACTGCGAAGCAAATATTTTGGCGGGCCAGTGCCCCTGTTGCCTCATACTGTCCTCTGATTCCCAATAGCAGTCCTTTCCAAATATCCTGCACTTGATTTTGTGTTTTGCAAGAGCAGACTCCCGTTCTGTAGAGAAGCAAACTATTAGATCCAGCTCCTTCACTAGGGAGCCGGTTGAGCAGTTAACACTTAGCATACATCTTTCCCTGTGCTTGTGCATGAAAGGGTCGAGAAGCAGAAAAAAATAGATTGCCAGGATACGCCAATGTAACTCTCGAAACCTTATCGGGTAGTCAGGAAGAACACGCATCCGCACGCGTGATATACTTCTTTCGCACTGCTTAGTTAAGCAGAAACAATGTTCCACTTCTCTGGATCCAGCTGTCGTATTCCCTGCTAGCTTGTAGCTACGCTCACCAGCGAACTTATGAAGCGCAACACTTGCAACGCTCCTCCTACGGCCCTCAAAAATAGAGCCCCAGCCCAAGCGTATGAAAACTTGGGAAGTTATGAATCGTCCCATTTCGATATATTTCGTGTTCAAATTCTTGAGAATAGGGAAAATCACTCCAATGATAAACTGACAACCGGGTTTCCAGCGCTAACAGATTCGCACATTCGTAGGGAGTGAAATGGTCCACCGGCGCATAGTACACATCCTCACAGTACGGAGCTGGTCCTTCTAAGCATCAAATAGAAGGCACGGCAGGTTCAGTAACTTTCCCCCTACACTAGCAGCAAGCAGATAGGCTGCTCTAGCAGTGAAACCCACCTTAACCTGTTTTCAACGCTTCGTGCTTTGCGCGTTACTGTGTACTCCTAAATCGCGGCAGCAGCACAGCTGTGCTAAATCCCCAAATATGCACACATGGTCTAAACTAAACATCACAAGCGACTGTGCGTGCTCAGAGCCTGTGCTTGTAACACACAGCTAACCTATTGAAGAGTGTACCAGGTGATGCATTGCGTCCACCACGCGGCACCACGTTGGCTAGGACAAAGAATAGACTCCGCAGGCCAAAGCACAAGACGGGGCGTAGCTGCCATTGCTGTTGTCCCTTTGGTAGTTACGCAGCAGTTACATGAAACAGTTAGGTGGGAGGACAGCAACAATCAAAGTGGCAATTGTGTTCACAGGGACTCCTGTGGTAATGCACGGAAGCCACTATGTCCTGCAGCTTCCTATACCACAGCATTCCCCAATCAGTAGTCCACGCGGACCAGACACATCTTGATAGGGTGGGAGGTAGTAGCGACCTCGCCCACAGCTAAAAAGTGCCTGTACTATAGGAGAGAGCTAGGTTGGACCATCCCTGTAGCTGGGTTCATGCTCTAGCCAACATGTGCGCTGGAAGAAGCAGTAGCTGGCAAGCTGGTCAGTCACGGCCAGAAGAAGGCATCTACCTGTCGCTACTGTAGCAGACGCCGTACTAATCTTGGCCCCAAAAGAAACCGGTCCTACTCCTCTTCACAGCCAACACAGAGGATTAGCCAATAATTATGCTCCAATCTGTTAGTCCGCACCCTCGAGCGGCCCATGACTGAAACGGCTGTTTTTCACTGAGAAACCTGCGTCGCAAGACAACGAAATTCATGGTCGAGCGCCTTTACTTGGAGAGCTGGAACATATGCGCTTTGGGTGAGGGCCACCTAGAGCGGAGCGATAGACTCCCGACAGCGTAGAACACCCCCCCAAAGTAACGGTGAATGCACAGCGCTATCAGAGGAGCTGGGGGCGAGGCAGACAAAAATGTGGAAAAGCGGAAAACATCCCACTCAAAGGAAGGCAGCATGCTACACAGCAGACAAATGAGGAGCAGGAAATGGGTCCTGGAAAAATACAAAGGAGGAGCTAGGTATACAAGATGCAAGGAAGGACTTGAAAGATCCAAATAATTGAGAATCGCCACTTACCAAGCAACGAGGGGTCTAGAGGCCGGCCCTGCGCCTTCTTCTTTCGAGACCGTCCCTTCCCTTGACTGGCTTCCCCGCTGACCGCTACGCAACGGATTCACATAACATGCTCAATTCGAAAGTGAGCAGCAGAGCATCAAACACTCAGATCTAAAGCCAGTCCTTCACTGCTTACAGATGTTTTCTTTTTTCCCCTAACGCGCCTATACCATGCCCTCTGTGGTGTCGCTACACCCACGTGTATAAAGGATAAGCACAATGTGCCGCAAAATAAAATAACGCACCTGGAGCCCCTCCTTTTTCCTCCTGAGGCCTCTTTGCGTATTTGTCATTCGTCATAACGAAGTTTTCAGCGAAGAGGCGGAGATGCTTGTGGGCAGGGAAGCTCTCTAATAAGAAGTCTTCCACGTCAAGTGGATTCTGAGGCACGCTCGCACACCACGAAATTCGCGACATCACGAATACCTTAAGATTCAACGTCGCAACCCGTCTTACAATTAGAGAGCCGTTCAAGCTAGAGCAAAAGGGGAAGCAAAACTTTGCAAGCCGACAGAGGTGCTTTGTATTTGTATTGCGCATCGTCACACAAATGCTCCTCCTCTCAGTGATTGAAGCAAGATTTTACTTGGGTAAGCCCTCCCTCTAACTGGACATCGGGGGAGATGCTCAGGGCAGGCACTGAGATATCCAAAATGTGGATTAATGGAGGATGAAAGGCAGAGACTGTAATACACGCCGCGGCATGTGAAGCAGAAAATGTGTTGGGGTGTAGGACTATTCAGCTGGACCGAGAGACTTACGTTCATGGTGGCTAAGTACTCCAAGATTGGAAAATCCAGCGGCAGCTCACACTCCGCTAGCAGGCCCTTCCATTCTGGAGCAGCCAGATGCAAAGCAGTCACAGTACGCCTTTGATAATACCCTCTCAGATTCAAAAGGACCAGTGCCGTGAGGAACCCTCCTGTGTGCAGCCTCATTAAAAGAAGTCACGCCCTGTGTTTGGCATCGATGTTCCTGCCTCTGATAATCCCTTAAGATTTGACCTGAAGACTCTGCTCTCCTGCTCCCCAACCGCTCCTGATGCCCTGCCCCCGATTCTCATTAAATTTTTCCGCCTTCCAGTGCCACGACACCTTACCCTGCAACTGAGCAGTCGGACGCTTGGGTGTCTCCACGTCTGCAAAGAATGCGGCAACAATGTTTAGCCATCAAGATGATCAATCAAGGCCTCGCAAGTGTGTAGTAATGTATCGACAGAACCTAGCACCAGCCAGCAGCCCCGTCGAAAAGCGACTCTACAAAGTCCTTACCTGGAGTGGGCTCGAGAATAGAGGGAAATTCCTCCACAGCTGACCGACCAGAACCTGTTGCAGCACAAGCCCACAGATTGCACGTCCTTGTGACAATGTAAATCCCAAATTTGGGACCCCGCTACTCCTGAACGTCGCTAGATATCGAGAACCAACCTGCAGGAAGTGCTGCCGCAGTCCTAGGCGCTGCATCTCCATTGCGTTTTGCGGTTCCAGCAGCAGTTCGCGGTTGCTGCTGCTGCTGCAGTGGGGATGGCGATGAAAGAGCAGCAGCGAGGCCCTTAGGGGCCCCTTGCGCCCAGGCTGTGCCGCCCAAGGGTAGAGTCGAGCCCTCCCTTTTGTTCTGTGCGGCTGCAGCAATAAAATCTTGCAGAGACTGCGTGTTCCCCTTCACTTTCCCCTTTGGACCAGCCCCAGCCCGTCTGCCTCCCGCAGCAACAGCTCCCTCATGAACAGCAGTAGGTGAGGTAGCAGCAGCAGCAGCTGCTGCTGCTGTTGAACCCGGGGTTACAGCAGGGGTCCCTGAGCCACTACTGTGGCTGTTTGTGGCCCCCTCAATCAGGTCAGGGAAGTCCTCAGAAGAACCCACTAACAGGGCCCCGGGGGCCCCCCATCCCAATGGTCCATCGTTGTCTTTACGCTGCGGAACAGCCCAACGCATAAGAGCGGCTGAGGCTTCCTGCTGCTGGCGCTGCTGTGGCAACACGCAACACACCCGAAGGACGACACCAAACGTAGAGAATCATCCCCGCAATGAGAGAACATCCTGCAAGCAGAAGCGGGAAGAAAGAAGGGGAAGGAAGGTATGTGGCAGTCCAAGTCTGCAGCAGCGAAACCAGCAACCGCAACCCATAGCCTTACTGCCTGCATTGCCGCCTCCTCCTCTTTTTTCTTCTCTTCCAATTCCTTCGACTGCTCAGCACTCTGTAACTCCATTACCTCCTTCAGCGTGACATTAGGTCTGCTTGCGGCTGCTGCAGCAACAGACACCCACGGTGCCGGTCCACCCATCACGGCGCGTCGCTGCTGCTCACCGGAGGGGCCCTCCCCAGGCCCACGTTTCCCCTGTTGCTGCTGCTGTTGCTGCTGCTGTTGCTGCTGCTGTTGCTGTTTGGAGGCCTTTGAGTCCGACTCGGGCTGTTTAGGCTCCTGCTGCTGCTTCTGCTGCTCCTTCTTGCGCTGGCTCTTCTGGCCCGCAACTTCCCAGCCGCCCTTCACTGAGTCAGCTGCACCAGCCATAGCAGCAGCTGGCTTTGCTCTGTTGTTGCCGGCAAGAGGCTTGTCTTGCGTTACTTTGTGCTGCGATTTATCTTGCAGCTTCAATTGGCGCTGCTGTTGCTGCTGCTGCTGCTTGGTCTCGTGCTGTTGCCTTTCTTGTTGCTTCTCTTGCTGCCGCTTCTCCCCCTGTTTCTGCTGCTGCTTGTCCTGCTGTTGCTGTTGCTTCTCTTGCTGCTGCTGCTGCTTCTTCTGTCGTTCTTGTCGGCACGACTCTTCCACCGTAGCTGACCAGGTCCTAGGATGTGAGGAAGGAGAATCACCCTGCTCCGCTTGTTGTTTTTGTTGCTGCTGCTTCTGATCCTGCTCTTTCATTTGCAGCTTTATTTGTTCGTGCTGAGCCTGCTCCTGCTGCAGCTGCCGCTGGTGCAGGTGCTGCGCTCCGGCCAGTGAACCAATGGGTTGCTGCATCAGCTGCTGCAGCTCCTCCTCCTCTTCCACCAGCTGCTGCTGATGCTCTTCTGATTGCTGGCCATGAGGCCCCCCAATCCCCAGGAGATTCTTCAGTGTAGACGTCATTTGGGCCGTACGGCCCGCAAGCCCGTGATGCAGCTGCAACTGCTGCTGCTGCTGCTGCTGCTGCTGCTGCTGCTGCCGCTCTCCAGGGGCTGCTGGCACTTGAGGCCGATGAAGGGATTCTGACGGCTGCTGCTGTAGTATGAAGAAGGGCGGCTGTTGTTGTTGCTGTTGTTGCTGCTGTTCCTGCAGCGACAGGCCTGTCCGCCGCATCCACATTTCCCACGCAGTTGCGTCCTCACCCCCAACAGCTGCAGCAGCAGTGGCGACTGCCGTTTGTGCGACTGCAGCTGTCAGGTCGTCGGGAGCACGAGTCACCGAAGAGGCCCTCTCTGGCGCCAGAGGATCGCCAAGTCCAAAGGCTCCCCCATCACAGTCAACGCCAAGAGTGCCTCCAGTGCCTTCACCCCAACCCATCGGATGCGGCTGCTGCAGCACACATCACAAAAACAACGAAACGTCCCGTAGTGAGCACCAGAAGGCGCAGCCTTAAGACCCACAGAAGGGACAGAGCAACTTACTTCCCACAGTCGGAAACTAGGTGGCGCTGCAGCTGGTGCTGTAGCAGAGCCTTCGGACGGCTGTCTCCGTCTTTGTTGCAGCTGATGCTGCCGCTGCTGCATCAGCCTTTCCCTTTGGGTTTGTTGCTGCTGCTGCAGGAGCCGCTGCTGCACGGCTTGGATATCGGGGAGCGTGGTGAACGGCGGGGGCCCCCCCGCAGGGTATATTAGGCCAAAGGGTATCCATGGCATATTAGGCCCCCAACGCATCAAGAGATGATCAGAAAAGTAGTTTCGCTGCCACCAACTGTGCATGTCTTTACCGCTAAAGGGACCCCTCTGAGTTCCGCTCGGATCGCGGTAGTACCAGATGCTGCTGTTGATATTCAGGGAGCCCTGAGAAAGGCTTAAAAGGCTGTCAACCGTGCCGCTGCCAAGCTCCTGTTGCCCCTGAGGGACCGTTAATGGAGGCCCCACCAAGAGGGATTGTAGATCGAACTCGCGCTGGTGTTGCTGCTGCTGCTGCTGCAAAGTGGTCGCAAATAAGTCTGCACCTGCCGAGCGACCGCCCAGGGGCCCCGGAGCAATGGGGGCCCTCTGTGGGGGCCCTATAGCCTGTGGAAGCTGATGCTGCTGCTGCATCTGTTGCTCCTGCTGTGCCTGCTGCAGCAGGGCCTGCTGCTGGCGCAGGCGTGCGAGGGTGTAAGGCGCTTGAAGCTCCGTGTCTCCTTGTGAGTTGTCTTGGCGCTGTTGTTGCTGCACTGCGGTAGTGGCAGATGTGAGGGTCCCAGCAATAGGCACAGGTATCCGTGTACCGCCTATAGGCTGTTGCTGCTGCTGCTGCTGCGCTGCTGCTGCTGCTGCTGCTGCCATGTATTGCGACAGAGCAGCCGCAGCAGCAGCGCGTGCAGGCCCGCTGGTTCGGAGGGAGTGAACGTGCGCTGCCAAGGCATGCAACTGTTCGCCATCCATTTCGCTGGCGAGTAGCCGCTGCAAGGATCCTGCAGATACATCATCTAGCGATTCCTTCGTTTTGCTGCTGCTGGGGCTGCTAACTGATGCCCCAGAGCCAAGCGCTGCTGCGGCTATGCCACCTGTTGCCAGTGCCCTGTCTTGCATGTGCTGCAGCTCGCCTGCCAGCTGCCCCCGTTCCAAGAGCGACTCAACTCTAGAGAAGTTGCACACTGGCAGCGAGGACCCCCGCTGCGGCTCCTGCTGCTGCTGCTGCTGTTGCTGCTGGTGATCGACAAAAGATCGTACCTCTGGATCAAGGCTAGGCCAAGAACGGGCTGAATCCTCCCCCAGCTGCTGCAGCAGACTTAGAGGCTGCTGTTGCTGCTGGGGCTGGGCCTGCTGCTTAGGCTTGCGCTTGATAATTGGTTCTTCTGCCCAGAACGCAGCGACGGACGGAGACAGCTCTTGTCCTCTAGAACTGAAGAATGAATTTACTTGATACTGCTGCTGCTGCTGCTGCTCTTCTGCGTGCTGCAGCAACAGCTGGCGAGTCTCGTGCTGAGCCCAAGTGTCGCGCTGCTTATCCAAAGAAACAATACGGGAAGGCTCCCCCAAAAGGCCGCTCTCTGAGTCCTCCACATCCCGCTGCTGTCGCCCCTCTTGAGGAGCAGACGAGAGGGGGGGCGCAGAAACAGAAGCGAAGTCAATGTCGAAGCACTCCTTGTGACCACCTCGTTGAACCTCTGGTGCAGGCTGTTGCTGCTGCGCATACAACCCGGAAAGTTTCTCCGCAGCATCGTAGACTGCAGCATCAGCAGCACTCGCTGCAGCTGCAGCAGTTGCTGCTGTCTCTCCCTCATCACTGTGCAAATCGCCGTGGGCACTACCATCGGCAGATGGCGGTTCGCCCTCCCCACTCGCTTCAGGCCCTTGCTGCTGTTGCTGTTGCTGCCGCTGCTGCTGCCGCTGTTGCTGCTGCATCCTGGAAATAGGGCCTGCTCCTGCGTTCGACAGCTTGGAGCCACCAAGTGCAGCAACTGCAGCAGCTCCTACACCTCCTGAAGTTGCCACGCCTTCGTCTGCCGGGATATCCCTGGAAGAAGCGCGTCTGCTGCTGCGGCTAGCAGCAATCCCCGTGCGGCCCCATACACCGCAGCCCGGAGTAGGTGTTCCTCCTCCTGCTGCTGCCGCCGCTGCTGCTGCTTCCACCCCATCTGCATGCACCGCGTCGCTGTCTCCTTTGAATCTGTGCTGCTGCCTTCCCTCTAATTCTCCGTGCGGTTCACCCGCGCCTGAAGCCCAAGAAGGGGTACTCCTAGGGGGCCTTATTGTGGTTTTTTCTGCCACGTCTACTGCAAGGGGTGCTGCCGTTTCTCCTCTCGGAAAGCGCAACGGCCAGTCCAAACTCCGGGCAGAAGACGAACTCGCCGGGGTGTCTGCCTCAGTGGGCCCCCGCACAAGAGCGCCCCGACCCCACAACCGCCGGCTGGCGTCGCCCCCCTGCGAATGGTGTGGCGGGGGCCCCTGCTGCTGGGGAGCACCTGCCTGATGGGGGCCCTCGTGCACATCAGACGCGTCCCCAAACACGCGACGGCCTAGCGGAAGTCGCTGCTGCTGCTGTTGGAGCGCCCCTTCCTGCTCTCCACCACCCACAGCAGACCGCGTCCCCCGCAGCGGCAAAGCCTGCACAACGGGGGCCCGCGAGGGGGGCCCCCCCCCTAAAGGAGGGCCCCCCCCTGAGGCGCTCGAGAAGTCTCCTGACCCGTGGGTGCCCTCCGCGAGCGCTGCGGCATCCGCACATAAAGAAGCACTCAAGACGCAACTCAGGACCCTTGTCGACGGGTGTTCCTACGTACCAGCGTGTGAGCTGCACTGCGCGTAGAAAATGCCAGAATAACGCGCGATCCTCTATCGCACGAACCAACTAAGGCACCTACGACCCACGCTAGGCACAACATGCTCTTACATTCTTGAAGACGGCGGTGGTCCTCCCGCAACTGCGACTGCTGAGGATTGCTGAGGGGCTCGGCTGGATCCAGAGACCCTCCTGGATCCCCCTGAGGGGGCTGTTGCAGCCCCCGAAGAGGCCACTGGCCGAGCGCTTGCTGCTGCTGCTGCTGCTGCTGCTGCTGCTGCTGCTGGTCTCCTCCACGAAAGTGCGGAGTAGCACGATCACCGACTGCAGGTTGGGGCGCCTGCTTTTGCGTAATACACGCACACATACACATACACATACACATACACATACACATACACACACATACACATACACATACACATACACACACAGTTATTACATATACACATTCTCATACGCACACAGTTATGCACACATGCACACAGTCATAACACAAGGGTCTTTTACTACGAGGGCGCGCGCATCGCGAGTGTCTAAATGCGAGACCCTGCTGCGCTAGCCTCTGCATCTCGTCTAAGGATCTCCCCAAAACGGCAGCTTCTGCCTTCATCCGTGCGGCAGAGCAGCCCCTGAGCTGAGCGCCTCTTGGCGGTGGAGTGCAGTGGGAAGATGCCAGCGGATAAGGGTGTTATGCGACAGGGACGTCATCGCGCATGCGCCTTAGCGGACGGTGACTGCTCAAAAAGGCTACTTGCTACAGTATTCTACGATCATCTTACTGCGCGCACGGGATGCCCAGCCGGCTGCTGCGGCTGTGGTTGCTGCTGCTGCGAGGGTGGCTGGGGCAACTTCAGAGACTCCAGCGAGGCCGCAAAGAAGGCAGTAGGATGAGATGGGCGCTGCTGCGCCCTTACAGCCCTCACTTCCGCTGCATCTCTCTCCCGCTGTTGCAGATGGATTGCCAAAAGCTGTTGCAGCGTATATACCACCCCGGCGATGGCCGCTGGCATCTCGACTGCCGTCTCTTGCTCCTCTTCCTGCTGCGTCGCCTCTGGTGCCGCCGTTTCGAGGTCTTTGGCGGGAGTTTTGTCGGGAAATGAGCCCGCAGAAGTGCAGGCAAGGCCGGCAGAGAGTGCCCCCCCTGAGACGGGGGGGGGATCCGCTTGCGGCTTCGCGTGCACTTCCCCCTTCGTGGCTGCTCCTGTTTGCCCCGCTGGTGGCGAGGGAGCAGCCGCTGCGCCTCCTGCTGCAGGTCCAACCCGCTTGAGGCCCCACAAAGTGGGCTTCTGATGCTGCTGGCGCTGCAGAAGCTCCTGTTGCTGCTGGTGCGAGAGGTTCCTGGTGAAAACAGAAGCCGTGACGGGAGTATCGTCCTTGGGCGGAGCAGCCGCGGGTGTGAAGAAACCAGCAGCGAGGCTGTTTGGGGTGGTGGTGGCCCCGAGCCCCTGAAGCACCAGTGGGGATGCCTTTGCATGCGGAAGGCGCCGTTGCTGCTGCTGTTGCTGCCCGCCAGAGGCGTTTGCAGGCGCGCCGCTGCTGCTGCTGCTGCTTCCGGTGTCTTCTGCTAAAGAAGCAGTAGCAGGAACTTCCCACCTCCGCCGCGTGGGAGCAGCAGCGGGGCTGGCACTCTTTGCAGCGGACAGATCGGCGGCTGACGCAGCCACGACTTTCGCTGCCGCTGAAACTGGTGAGCTGCCTGCCCCCAGGCCTGCTAACAGTCCTGTAGCCACCACCCCAATACTCGCGCCTCCCTGCTGCTGCAGGGCACCAGGAGGCCCCTCCGCTGCACTGACAGGAACACTACGAATTGAGGGCGTGTCACGAAGCTTAATTGAGCCCAACAGAGCATCCAGTGTCTTCGGTTTTGTTGAGGGGCCTCCGGAGGGCCCAGGAGGAGCCGCTAAAGCGCTCCCTGTCGAGGCAGACGTGCTACTTCCGCTGGGTACCCCTCTTACAAGGTTCCCCGCGGCAGCAAATCCCCGCCTCTGAGCAGAAGCGGAAGCAGCACTTCCACCGATGCTGTTGTTGGTGCTGCTATTGATTCCAGCTGTTGGGCGTGGCCGCCCAACGCCTGCTGCAGGCCTAGGCTGGTACATACTCCTGCTGTCTCCTTCCGTCTCCTCTTTGCGTACAGTAAGCGCCCCTTACACACGCCGGGACGCACAGATGGAGCTAATTTGGGAGGCAAAGGCGGGAAAGCCCTCCCACCCGCTGTCCGTATACTACTAGGGAAGTCAGAAAGGGGGCTAGCTAGACGCGCCGCACCAGAGGGGGAACTTTAGCAGAGGAAGATGCACCAAGAGATGATATCCACAGTTTTCGTGCAAAAGATGCTATTGTTTCCAAAGCATGCGGGCGGCTTCCGTTTCCCCAGCTGCCTTGACTGCTGCAGACACAGTTGGCGCGTGGCCTGAAGGAACATGCGGGGGCCCCTCCTCGGCTCAGGGCCCCAGGTGTGAGGCACGGGATAGGGCCCCCACTCCGTAAGCTCTAGGCGGCGGCAGGGTCCACCTGGAGACCCGAAGAGGGGAATAGTGCAAGGATTGGGAGACGCAGCACGAGGGCAGAGAGGGGGTAGCAGTGACTGCACGTGGCAGAGGAGGCAGATAGAGGAGGAACCAAGGGAAGCAGCTGCTGCGGCACTGAGAGTTTGCCGGAAAGGCAGAGCGCAGGAACTCCAGGTAGGAGAGGAAGATTGAGCAGAGGAAGAAGCACAAGAAGATTTAGAATGCTACCGAGCACAATGTAAGAGGGGACGCCCACAGAGCCCTTAGTTCGGGATTTTGGAGAAAGAAGGCGGGTGTTTGGGGTGTTTGTGTGAAACAGAGTAGGAGAGGGTGACAGCTGGATTAACATCCATATAATGGCATTCAAGACCCCGTCAAAACGCAGAAATTAAAGGATTTAACTGATCAAAACCCCTGCAGCAGACAACGGTAGCAACTGCAGCAGCCGCTGCTGCTGCTGCTGCGTAGTTGCTGCTGCTGCGTAGTTGCTCTACAGGCGCTTCGAAAAACTGGCTCCCGCATCTCCTCCAAATTTTAGTGATGTGTCTCTTTGTAAGTTATGCGGTAATAACCCCTTTTAGTGCCAGAGAAATCTGAAGGGCACATATAAGGTGGATGGCAGTGTATCAAGTGAGCAGCAACTACAACAAAAACATGTGCAGCAACACACCGTCGTCAATTGGCTATTGCTTTTGCTTTAATCTTAAGGCTGGTACCACGAAAAAGACAAGGCAGAGCTTTACTAGAGTTTGGCTGATAACTGAAGAGCTGATTCCCCAACTTGGGCGCTATCAGTAAACCATATTTGCCATAGTACTCAAGAAACGCTTCAATTGAGGCCTTCGTAGGGTGACATTTTACTCCGAATCCACTATAAACTTAATGCAGAGCTGTTGAGTAGTTTTCATAAAACACTTCCCCCTTCCCTCTTCGCATATTTTATCAGAATTCCCTACGAGGGGAAAGGCACAGCTAGGGTGAGGATTGCTGCACCCTCTTTGCACTCCCAGCATTCACAGCTACTTACACATCGCATCTAACGGGCACGCACAGCCTTGAATCTTAAAGGAATTGAGCTAAGAGTACTCCGCAACAAAGATGGTAAATGGACACCGAAACCAATTAGTCGATTCTGTACTGGTTCTCATTCAAATAAATTTTGTGTAGTAGAAAGTGTTTAACTGTAGCTTAGCTCGTTATTTCTTTCCTCCTCACTTGACGTATACACCCTCTTGTGCCATACCCACACGCCGAGACCACCTACGTGCAACTCAGCAAAAGGCTTCCCACCCAATGGCATTTAGAAATGAGAAGAAAGTGCAAAGCAGAGAAGCAAGGTATGCTCTTACTGCTACAGCAAAATCGACGGGAAAAAAAAGAAAGACACATACTGTAGTCCGAACGAGGAACCAAACCCACACGATCAAAGCGGCGGGATGCCTCACTGTCGTCAGAGAAAACAGAAGGCTAATGAAGTGTGTAGCAAGAATCATAAAGACACAAGCCCAGCAGTGCTTCCGTGCCTCGTAGAGAATCTTTGTATGCAAATATAGCCTAGTTATGAAGCACAGTTTATTGAAACTCCACATAGAAAGGCATAAGGAAGAAAATGGAGACCACACAGCTGAGAGGGCCTGCACATAGATCTGAGTACAGAGAACACCGAAACAATAATACACGGCAACTTATCAGGCATTACCCAGAGATAACAGTAGCCATTTCAGACCTAGCAAGTGCTTCGGAAGGGCAATTGTCAGGGAACCAGATGCTGCCTATGGCGACCAGCGTTGTAATTCCAACAAAGCCGCAAATTTTTCCGGCAGGTTATGAAGCCCGTGGCTGCTCCTCTGTCAGCCTCTTAGGTTGGCAGTTCCCACCCCATTTCACTAGAATTTTCTACCCACCGTGTCTCAGTGCTCTACAGTCGTGAAATCCAGCACATTCATGGCTCCCTGCGCGTCCTTCGCCAATACGAGTCATTTGCCTCCACTGCAGAGCCTGCACACGCCTCGCAGGCTGAAAATTCTTTGGGAATCTAATCATGATATTGTTCATTCATGGGAAATACATCGAGTAGCAAATATAGACGGTCTGTCAGAAGACGCCAAATGATCCTTGCCACCCTTCCACAAGCATTTTCGCCTGGTCACATTCCAGTGCATTTCATTATGCCTGCTGATCCAGCAAGACCATATCTCCGAGGTTGAAACACGCAGCCGATTGCCACTTATCATGGCACACTGCTTATCTCTCTCGAGTTTTGCGCATACACTATCGTGCACTCTTCAGCTTCTGTCTTAATCCCTCCTCTGCAAACGGAGGCGGCGGACGTTGGCCTACTATATCCAGGCCCGGATCGGAGACAAGCTTCTCTGCGTAAGTCAACGATGCAGGACAGCAACGGCTAAACGATTAAACTAGCGTGTCATGAAACATCTCAAATTCAAGCAAGACTCAAACCAAGCAATTGAATTTGTGTGGTCAGAGACAGGCAAGTACTGCAGAACAGTGCGGTTGATGCGCTCAGTCCACCCACCCTCCTTAGGATAGCCCAAAGCGGCTATATTCTTGCCAGTAAGTAGGCACGTCATAATGGCACGTCAGAATCCACTTAGGAGATGTGGGTCTCTATCCATACTGACACTTCTGCGGCGTTGGAGAAGCTTTCAAAGATGAGTCAAACATAGAGCTGAAGCAAGCGAGGGCCTATTTGCTAAGTTTTGTCGGTGTCCACGTGGATATTATCCTGACCCATGACCTCCAGCATGCCAACAATAAAGTCCATGGTCAGATCAGGTTAACGTGCATCAGAGCTCGGACGACTTTGCAAAAGTCCGTGTTTTAAAGAAATTTGTTGCTTCAGGTGCTGGCGATGTGGATATGACATTGCATCTCCTCTTCCGCAAAGCGCATCCCAGGCCACCAGAAGGACTGTGAGAGCATTTCCACTGGAGTGTGGATCCTACAATAGCATGGAAGAGCATGATCATGTGCTCTGGGCAAAAAAGCACTGAGGAGGGAAGCCGGACTGCAAGAACAACGGAGTTTCCACTTTGTTCTGAACTGCAGCAGGACATTCCCAACGTGGCTGTGCTCCACCGTTTCTCCCATTCTGGATTTTGGCAATAGTAGCTAATCATGGATACCAAATGCATACAATTCACATTACTCGATAGAAACCAACGATTATCAAGGACAAGCGCAGCTGCAGTGATCTCCAATGAATCGCTCGGGCGTGAGCGCCTCTACTATCATATTAAGAAAGTGTCTACTACACATTATCTTAAGCCGCCCTTTTAGGGGCGCCTAAGCCAGCCAACACTTTTAACGTTCTCGAACTGCTAAAAGCTCTGTGTATGGGCTAGCAAAGGCTAAGCATCGGTCTCCACAGGACAATGACCTCCATCAAAAATGATGCCGGGATTTATCCAGGCCCCTACACGCTACATAGAGTCGTTTGGGCTACATTGCATATTGCTTCTCCGTTTCGGTGAGGCGATGGGAATACTACACAATGTTTCGATGTATTTATAAAGTGGTCGCCTGTCAGAAGGAGTAGCACCAAGCAAGACATTACTAGCATCAGTTATGAGGAAGAACTGACACTCATTATCCGTCTGAGGGAGAACCGGATGAGTTGTAAGGCGGGTAATACTAGCTCTTGGTGCGGCGCCAACCTCCTCTGTCCGGGTCACGTACGGCGCTTTGCAAAATAGAGCAGTCGAAGGAACAGCAATACGCGCAAATCCAGGAATGCAAGCTGTGTAGTAAAATGCAAGCTCAGATATTCACGAAGTCGTTGCGCATGCGGAAAGGCGAATGCCATGGCTTATCAGTTTTACCTTTGGCCCGATATGCCTCAATTTTCCACAGTAAAATCACGGAATCCCACAACTATAACTGGTCACGCGTGGCACGAACAAATGAGTGTTTTTGCATACCTTTACCTATCTCGCAACACCTGAGGCGCACGCTATAGGTGTTGAGGGTGCTTTTGAAAGTTTCAGCGGCATGCTGGGACGTCAACCATGCAAGCAGCCAATAAGCCTTCCTCGATAGCCTCATGAAATCCCAAGTAAAATGGCGTCGCAGGATCAAAGGAAGTTAACGCGTAAAATAGGTCTACAGATATACTCGAGTTTGCGAGGACGAGTGCAAACGATCATTTTGTCTCGCTCTGCAGTAAGTGGGGCCTTGTACAAAGATATCGGTGTAGTCAAATGTCAAGTACACTGTTGTTCCACGTAATCTGTCACACGAATTGCCAAGAACACTCCGAAAGCTTCCTTTTTACATCGATCTTGTTCAGGAGCTTGAAAGCGAACACACATACATGGCACCGTCCGTCCTCTTGGTAGGAATACCTGGTATTGCGCAAAAGCACTTGTCGATTCCTGCACTTGCCTTATTCAGCAAATCATTCGCCTGACGAGAGACATTTTCCTGATGGCGTGTGGGCTTCTGAAGCCACAGAATATGTTTTGAGTATGGCCTATGGATTGACTTAAAGCAGTGCGCTAGACGAACAGCAGGTGGCCAGCCTTCGGGCAGCTCCTCATTATCTGGCACATCCACATGTTCCACCATAA